TTCTGACATTGCCAGAAAAGCGGAAGACCCAATACTATTATGGGCTACTGGACTCTTTTTGAATATTTTGCTGAGTTTACAAACCTATAATATTCAAATAATGGAACTTAACAAAAAAAGGGGATAGAGATTAATGTCCATTTTGTATCTGTGTATTCAAAGTGGTTAAGATAGATATATAGTTACATTCTCTTAATGAATAGAATGATTTGTTCTAATGGTGTTTGTAAATAGGATATCAAGTCCGCATCTTGTACAGTAATTAACCACTAAGAAGAATGTATGCGGTGTGTTAATTATTGAAACTGTCCTACCGATTTGATTTGAAACTGTCTCATTGCTATTTGTTTATTAATAAAATTATGGCAAAAAAGAAAAAAAAACTAATGAAATTAATAAAAATAAAAATGAACCTTGATCATGAATACAAAAACTATAATTCCTCTTAATGTTTTAACATAAAAAATATGATACATAACAAGAGTTTCATAAAAGAATTTGTGCAAAAATATGTAGCTCTAAAGTACTAAGTCTAGTAGGAAAGAATAACATATTGAAACATGTTTTAAGTCAATGCAGTTAAAAAAGTTAGAAAGTTAAAAAGTTTAGTGAGTAGGGGAACAACAGGAAGAAAAATGTTAAATTATACTAATGACATACGTCTGTCCTATGGTATAGCAATGCTGGTTCAAGGTGTATATACACAATCAGTGTCACTACTTGTACACATGAGTCAGGGGAAGGCAGATACTTCATGCCAGATGAGGGAGTATTTTGAATTTTGCTCATCCTGTCTCCAAATTCAACTCTGCCACTGAGCTGTCAAAATAATGGTACCACATTTCAATTAATATTTTCCTATAAAATATTACCTCCCAAAACAAAGAATTGATAAGAGTTTGTATAACCAAAACTAGGATATTGAACAACAGAAATTGTTCTTTGTCCTCTCAGTTATAGGTTCTTTCAGATTTGAGTATGGTTACCAATGTAACTATTTTTTGGAAAAGATAAGAATGGCTTGCAGGAAGATCATCTAGTGTAACTGTGGAGTGTTTCACACACTTGCATTACAATACATTAATATGGGATGGCAAATAGAAACATAGAGGCATCAGAGTCTTTGTTCATAAAATTATCATTTATTTTATGAAAAGTTTGAAGTCATTTCTCCCTGGAATAAGTTCCAATGAAATGTCTAGTCTGTATTATAGTAATTGCCCATAGAATTCTTATTGTTATGGTTTGTGTATAGACGTCCCCAAAAGCCTCATGTGGTCATATAATTTTTTTCAGAGGTGGCTGAATCAAGAGTGTGTTTAATGTTATTGCAAGGCTGAGCTTAAGGGTGCTAAGGGTGCTAGGATTCACGATGAGTGATTGTTGGTTTAGTCCACTTATTGGATTAACACTGTCCTAATCGTGGTAGACTGGATACAATATAGGGGACATAAAGTGGCTTTTCTAGCTCTCTCTTGCTGCTTTTGCTGTGTTCCATCACCATGAACTATTGCTCTTCTTCCATGTACCTCTTTACTTTGGAGCCAGCAAATTATGGATGGAAACCTATACAAACTATGAG